ACTGGAGGGAAACGATATTAACATAGAATTTAATCTCGAATCCCGAATTTTAACACACAGCTTTTGGCATTTTCCGTTTTTGTTTACAGATGCTGAATGCTTTCTGGCGTTGTACTGCATCAGGACACACGTACAACTCACTCATTTCAGATTCATATCACTTTAGGGATGTTTGTAATTTAAATTTTGATAGCACTTTTGATGCTTGGGCAAAATATACAGCGAAGAAGTCATTGAGATGTTTGGTGTGCTCCGAGGTTACAGAGAGAGCGCAAGAGGTTGCATTTCTGGTGACTGGCTTCTATTGTAAGCTTCTCTGATGATGAGGACAGTACCACACAGTGCTTCCTGACCCATTATCTCCTGCCTAGGACTGACCCAGTCAGCAATGCGATGGGTCTACGGTACTCCTGGAGGGAAACCTCAAAGATGAGGATGTGGTAGTTGATGTTGAGTGTGTTTTTACTTTGGTGTTCAAGTCATTCACTGCAGTCTCCATGAAATTACAGTGAGGGAACACGAGCGAGGTATTGTGAGGTCGTTTGTGTTTCCAAGTTCCTTGGATGGTGGACAGATTAATCCATGGTGCTCAAGATTCACAACAAGACAAAAAAAACTTCTGAATTGAAACCGCGAGTGAGACATCGTCACTGACTGCATGGATCTTCCAGTTGCTATCAGTCATGTCATTTAGTTTTGCCTGTAACGGTCATATTTTCCATCTGCATGTTGCCGTTTGGCCTGTTCTGTTGGACCTCGAGGAAGAGGAGGCACAGCTGATCCGGACAAGCCTTGTATGGCTCCCTGAACTTGTATTACAGCTTGGGCCTGCTGTCCAACAATGTTTCCCATGACACTGCGGGAATCCCCTGAACCGCAAATCGGTCTTCTTGCTGTTCGGTATGGTGCCATTCGGGCCAGTTTTCTGAGGAACACAGGCCCAATAAGCTAGCAAGGCCCGAGGGGCGTGACTTTTGGTGAAACCGCTCCTACCTGCTTCACCTATTCTGGGCATGTGGGTGTTTCTGCCCACCTCTCACTGGCCACCTGAAAGATACCCCAGGCTCGGGGGCAGAAGGTGGCTGTGGTTCAGTGAATCGTTGCTGTCTGTCTACAGTAAGGGTCACCCGCCCAAAGACAGACCACAAAATAAGCTGCCTCCCTCTCTCCGCTACCCGTCCGACCTTTAACCCCTAACCTTGCACGTCATCGAGGACCACAGAAGGGAAATTTCACATTTCATGTGATTATTTTTACTTTCTTTGTTCGCGTCCCTTTGATCTTCTGTGGTCGTTTTTGCTATGCTTGTTTTAGTTGTGGGAAGAATGGAGGTAGAGCGATTTTTTTTTTTTTTGTAAAGTCAACTGGATTACACCAAATGTTTGACTTATTCTGATTCTTCTTTCTCTAATTATTCTGCTGCTTTCTCGTTATGTATTTCGATTAAATTGTGATTCCTAGCGGTCTGTCTTTGATTGGCGTGTTTCTCATTAGCGTCTCGCTAATATTTACCGAAACAGCCGTTCAGCGACAGCTGAACTCGAAACTGCAGAATTTTCCACTTCCTGCTCACCGTTATCAGTGCCCTTTTTACTGTTGTCATACATCGCCTTTACACTGTACCTCACAGTGTAATTAGTCAAATCTTGCCTTGCCTTTGTTGACTATGTTACCCGATTAATTTATTTGTATTTGGTTGTTTAATGCTGTTTGCTTTTATTCTGCCTGCTTGGCCTTGGCAACACAGAGTTGTGTCATAGTGATAAGGCAGTGGGGGGGTGTGGTGGGGGGGGGGGGGGGGGGAGAGAGGCCCAAAGCACGTGGGCAGGCCCCCGGTGAATCAGAGAAATGGCCACCTCGACTCGATAATGTGATAATGGTTTAACCGTAAGCTGATTATGATCGGCAAATCTGCTGGCAAGAAAGGGAAAGTGATGAGAGCGAAGGGAGGCGGGGAGGTTGTCAGTCCCCCCCCCCATTTGTGTGATGTGTCCACGGTCGCGCTCATTGTCGTCCTGCGGTGTCCTGTTCTTCGGCTTGGCAGCCCACACTGTGTCCGACCTCAGCTCTCAGCCTGGGTGTTGGGCTTCACTGCTATTGGCTCGCACAGGGAGACGGGGGCGTGGCAGCCTGCTGGGTGGGTCACACCCTTTTCACAGCAAAAATCTTTTTTTTTTTCACAGCAAAAATCTAACGCCATCAAGTCAGTAAAGGGGGGCATATTTGCCCCTCGTTCGGCACCATTATTGTTCCACGCGCCTTTGGCAGACGATGTAATTTCTATAATAGCTTCCCGTTAATCAGCTTAACTTGTAACCTTTTTAAAGGAAATGCTTGTGCCATACGAGGCGCCGTTTTGTTACGGGCGTCGAGAGGTCGGGCCGCTGGTGACCCTGCCAGGGCGGTGGGGGGGAAAGTATGGAATCGGGTTGCAGTCCCCATGGGTCGGTTGTGCCGCCAGTCTCCTGACCGCAGTGGATCAGCCTGCGGGCTGTTGGCACAGTCACGGGTCACGTGTTACATGGGAAACGCCCCCTCCTGACGGCCCCCATGGTTCTCCAGGACTGGCTCACGTTACTGTAACATGTGTGTGTGTGTGTGTATATGTATATATATACACACACACACACACACATTTAACCTCTGACACAGCTGCAAGCTGCCTGACGTCACTGAACACCGACACGATTCCACAGCGATTCTCACACGGCTACTTCTTCACCCACGATTGTTCAGTCCCAGAATCCTCAGCTGTCTCCCATCATCTCTGGGGAATCTTTGCAAAGTCGCAGAGGACTCCGTTACCGACGTCTCCCGCGCCATTTCACCTTCCCCCGGTGCTGGGGCAGCGCTGCCGTGGCCCCTTTTTTAGGCACGGTGAAGAGCTGGTCTTTGTTCGGGATTTGCAGGCCTCTGGGACGGGCGGACGGGGCACTGGGGAGGAACAGAGCTATTTCCCAGCGAATGGAAACCTATTAACAGCCAGCTAAATATAGCCGAATCCATTTCACCACGTCTGTGCTGTTCAAACACATTCTATTGGTTCTGAGCGTCTCTCTCGGTCCCGAATGTCGGCTCGTGCTACTCTGATTGCTACTAGTGACTGCTGTCTTGTTTTATGCTGCTTGCTATTGCCGATGGTGTTATGTGTTCCTGAACTGCAGGGATCAGTGATATGTTACCAACAACTACCATCATAACACAGAATAGTCATGTACAATTAACAGTTGGCTTAACTTGCAACCACACCGGTATAAACCAATTGTCACCTTGTTTTTGAGCAGAAATGGTGAAGTTTTCACTCTTGGTGAGTGAGTTTTTTTGACCCATTCCATTGGGTGCAGACGGACTGCAGTTTTCTCCTGCTCAAAACGCCGATCCCCTTTCTCTGGCCCACAGAACCACTGCAGCATTTTTGGTCCTTGATCGTGAGCGTGATCCACACGAACGGACAAAGCTTTGCCGTGTTTTCATGACTTTTTCTTTTGTTGCTATTGGAAACGCAGATTTTAGCATGCTTGACCAATCAGGTTATCCGCTTACAGATATCCAGAAACTGCACTGTCCCTGAGTTTCTGTCATTGGCTAGGAGCCGACCTTCTTCCTGCTTTTATCTTTCCTTATGATCTTCATCGAATCTTAAAGTGCTGGTCCTGAACACGGTCCTTCCAAATGTTATTTTTACTTTCCACAATGTCAGATATAATCACCCTCTGCTGACAGTTTGCTTATGATTAATACCAGTTAGTCAAAGGCAAATCAGAAATTTAAGTTCTTATGTTTTTCAGCATAAACGGGTCATTTGGTCCTTGATGCAGACTTCCTCCCTGAGAGAGCAGTGATAGTTTGTGCTTGCAGCCTGTTCAGTGTGTCCTGGGTGGGGCCAACTATAAAAAAAAATCAATCAGCTTCTCACATTTTTCACAACACAATAATTACACTAATCACAGTCCAGCAATGACCCAGATAGGTGTGTTATGCCTGAGGAGTGTATATATGAGGATTTTATTGAATAATTTCTCAGACACCACACCAGACTGATTTTAAAACCCAAGGAAGGACATGGGGTGCGACTTTTAAATTGCTCCCCTGGATTCCTGTTGTATTTAATACATTTATTTGCTCAGTGGGCGTTTGGGTCCAGCGTGACCTGCAGGAGGGGCCCTGTTTATACAGCTGCCTGTTTGTGGGGGAATCTGCCGCCTATTCCGGAACCCACCCCTTTTTAGGACTCGAACCCACAACCCTGTGATCATGGCCTCCTTAAGGGCCCCCCCCTGCCCGCAGGCTGATCGCCATCTGCGGGTCACCAAAGGAGCTCAGCAATGCTCACCACGGAAGCTTCCGGGCTACGGACCGGAGGACCCTCTGATTGTGGCTCAGGAGTATGAACGGCCGAGCTCCGGTCTCTCAGAAACCCGGCGCATCCCTCTTATAGGCTGGCCAGTTTGGCGCTCCCGAGACCTGCGCCACAGCGCCACCACTTGGACGGAGGCCCAGCCTGCGGGGCGACAACACCCCGACTGGCTGTGAATTGGGTTTGTTTGTTGCGCTGCCCCCCCCATCACCCATGCAAACCCCCACTCTCACAGGCGGTTCAGTGGCTTGCGAAAGAATTCCCCCATGTGCTTACCACCCCTTGTGCGGTGAGGGGGCTACAATGGCCCCCATCCCCACCCCCAAAAACCCTCTTCCCCGGCCCCTCGCTCAAGCCCTCCCCACCACTTTCTTTGGGAAACAGGAGCTGGGGAAGTGTGAGGGGAACGGGGCGAGGTCAGCGTGGAGCAGGGTGGGGGTGGGGGGGGGTTCAGCTGCTGCTTTGTTGTCCCGTCCAGAAGGTGCCCGGCGAGAGTGGGCCGGCCAAACTGCACGGGCGGCGGCATCCGCGCAAGCGAGAGAGCGGCCCACTAACCGCCCTCTCTCTCTCTCATTCTCCCTCCCCCTCCTCTCTCTCTCTCTCTCTCTCTCTCTCTCTCTGCCTTTCTCTCCCTCCCTCACAGCTGGGCCGTCAGTTCAGAGCACGCTTGCACGCCGGAGAGAACCTGCGTCGTGTGCCGGTTCTCACACTACGGAGAGTTGCCAGTCCCCCCCCCCCCCCCCCCCCCCCGTTGATCCCCGGCACACACAGACCAACGTGGTGAAGCGAAGGAGGCCGCGGACGACCTCTGGGACTCGCCGCGGTGGACAGAGGATGGCATCTTTACCAGGACGACCCGTTTGGAGCGCCCTGCTGCTGGCACTGCTGTCCGTTCTCCACGCGGCTGAGGGTGAGTGGATGCCCCCGTGCCCCCCCTGAGTGGATGCCCCCTGCCCCCACGCCGCTGGGTGTCTCCTTGCCCACTCCTCCCCTGTGTACATCAGTGTTGTTGGAACTGTGAAGCTGGGAGACAGCAGCCCACAGAAGTTTTGGCTGTTGTTGTGGTGGGGGTGGGTGTTTGTGCTCACTCCGTCCTGTCAAGGTCTTTAGATGAGTGGGGGCTGTGCTTGTCCCCCCCGCCCTAAACAGGCCACTCTTTCCCCAGATCCAGTCTTTGGCTTTCGGAATTTACGCTGATTTTAAGTTTAGTTTCCTGTCCTGCCTTTTATCACCTCTGTAATTCTTCTATATTCTTCTTTCCTTCTGTGGTCAAAGTAGGTATTTGCATAGTATTCGTTCCAGTTATTGGTCTCCAAAAAGTTTTTTGAGCCGCTCAGTGCCTGATGTTTTTTTTCGACATTGGGTTGGTTGAGGCAGCCTCGCTTCTTTGGTCGAGTCCCCAGTGATGGCTGTAGCGCTTCTGGTGGGTGCCTCCATGACTGTGACCCATGTGGTTTGGTTTTGCTGCTTTCAGTGTGTGTGCTCTTCACTTCAAGGGATTCACGCAACTTCAGCTGTCTGACACTTAGAGACGCAGCTGGAACTTAAGCTTTCGAATGAACCGTCACCCTCCCCCCTCCTCCAGCCGTGGCTGTACTGCTGCTGCTTTGCACACATGTGAGCCAAACACGGGTGTGTGCGGTCTTAAGTGTCACACGGGCCCGTGATCATCTCAGAGACTTTCCGTGTTAATGTTTAAAATAATCGCCAAGGTCCCAGATGAAACGCGCTGTTTGGTGGCCCATCCCGGCTCCTTGATTCCTCTTGGTTCCTCACCATTTCTTCATGTCTTCCTCATCTTCATTGCCGCTCATTGTTGGCTGCTGATCACCCTAATATTAGACCAAGATGGGTGCTTTGTAAAATGGGAACTCATCGCTACTTTACCCCCCCAAGGCGTGCACCTTCATTGCTGTCCTCCCCTAATCCTCTCGCTCCCAGACAGTGTACCTGCTGTCCCGTTTGCCAGGCTGCCCTTTTAGCATGTAGCCGCATTGCATTATTGACCCAAATACAAGCTCGGCTATGAGAATAGCTGGTGCGTGTGTGACTCCTGGATCGCGACGGCTGCGAGCACTAAAATAGATCAGCGCGAGAGCACGTTACCATTTTAATTCCGGGAAAACAAACAGAAGTACATGCAATCAGTGGGGAATAGTTAATGTCGGCACTGTCTTGACATGGACAGCTCAAAGGTTTGCATCGTCACTTGGCAGTAGAGTTCGGCAAAGTCTGAGAAGCTTCTCGGGGTAAATAGCTTGGATGCCGAGGCAGGCCGTGACCCACTGAGTGTCTGACTTTACAGCTGCCTTTTTCGCATGGAGAACGTGGATTTCAGGAGGCTCTCCGGAGCCAGACGGAGCCACATTGTAAAGGAAGCAGAGTAGCGAGAACAGGTTAGGACTAGAGTTTAGGGAAAGATGGAGAGGTGATTACGAAAAGGTAGGGAGGGAGTGAGACGTTTGAGAAAATGGCGTAGGGACAGGGAAGCATGTTTAAAAAGCGCCGTGTGCGTCACTGGGTGCTGCAGTGTCTCTGGGGTTTGAAGTCAAGGCTTGCTTTGAGATTGTCTCTGCTCTGTGCCCCCGCCCCACACACACACACACACACACACACACACACGAACACGCTCAGCAATGAAAGGAGCTGCGCGATCCCTTCCCTTCCTGCAGTCGAGGGAATTAAGAAGCCCAGCAATGTAAACAAGGTCACAGTGATCCCACTGCCACATCATCCTGACCTTCCCGGGGGGCTGAGCATGTCGCTGGGTGTCTGTGTGTCTGTGTGTGCGCGCGCACATTTTTGTAATTATTAAATTGTGCGGACTAGATTTCCCCACAACGTGATAAAAACCTGTAACTTTTTATCTTGTAGAGACATTTTTTCAGTCCCCACAAGGACAAACTCAATTTTATAAAAGTCTGTGACTGCAATCAAAAACCAAAAATGCCGAATGTCTTTTATTTGGGTAAGGTTACGCCTGGGTAGGGGTTAAGGCTGTCATTGCTGGGATTAGGGTTATGCCAATAAAAACGAATGGAGAGTCCCCACAAAGATATAATAACATACCTGTGTGTGTGTGTGTGTGTGAATTATGTTTATATGACGTTGTGGGGACCAAATTTTCCCTACACTGTAATAAAAACCTGTTATTTTGATGTTGTGGGGACCATTTTTCAGGTCCCCACAAAGATCTGTGAATGCAATCAAAAATCTAAAAATGCCAAAAGTCTTGTATTTTGTTTGGTTACTTTTGGTTAAGTTTAGGACTGGGTAGGGGTTAAGGTCGTCATGTTGGGATTAGAATTTTCCCCATAGAAATGAATAGAAAGTCCCCACAAAGGTATAATTACAAACCTGTGTGTGTGTGTGTGCGCGCGCGCGCGCGCATGTGAGGGCCGGTCTCACACACTCCTTGGTCTGTGCGTTCACCCTACAGCACTGATTCATTAGCCGAAATTCTTCCTCCTCCAGTCGCTATCAGTTGCTCTGTGCTTCCACACAAAGGGCCGACAGCTCAGTGAAAACACCTCATTCATCTGTCCTTTTACTGCGAGGCCAAACTGCTGTGATGTTCTTCTAAACTCCGTTTTAGGGAGGGATGGCAGGCTCGTCTCTCCCCAGTGCTCGTCTGGGACACACGGATCCCCCCGCTGTTTAATAGGCTGGGATGTCGAGGCCGGTACTCTGAGTTCTGTGTGCGTTTGGTTATGGAAGCAGCTACGGCGGTGTCCCGTTCCGTTCAGCTGGCCTCATTTTCCGGAATCCGCTCACCGTCAGGGAATCGGTCGATCTAATTTTATTTACTACGCCACGATTTTATAAAAGAGTCTGTCACAGAGTGTTCTGCTGCGATTTATGCTAATTTTCCACTGGGACAGATCTGTGCTGATAACACAAACCCCTGGCCCTCAATTTTCAGTTTATGAGGCTGTGAGGAAAGATTTACAAACAAGAACCAAAAAAGAAGTGAAAACATTCTGATACAGGAAACATATAAATGTTTTAATGGAGAAATAAATTCATTGGTACACCTAGTATAATTACATAATGCCTCATAATTACACACTTAGCCTGCTCCATGTGTCCTTGGGGTGTGATTTTTAAACACATTTGTCACTCTTGAAAATCTGCCACAGCCTCTGCAGGGTATATGTTCAAAATAATGAGCTTGAGATTATTACTGATGTCCACTGAAGTCGCTTCCTTCTTGTATTAAAGCATCACTGCTTGGGCAGCGTCCTGGGTTTCACTGATCTGAACTGAGATGTTCCCAAGTAGATGGTCCTTTCACATAGTTGTTGTTCCATGGAGATGAGTCGTTTGATGAGCCGTGTCCGTGCAGCTTCAGTTAAACTCCTTGGAGGCCCGTTGTAGTACATTTGGAAGGTCTGTTGAAGTTGCTCTCAAATAATGTGACCTGCGTATGTTTCTAAGCTGACTGTGATTTCAGCGGCTCCGCATTCTGTGGACATTTTATGTTATATAAATTAAGACAAATAGATTTTGAAATTGCAGTTGTTTTGTATTTACAGTACTAATAATCACAAATTGGCCTAGAACATTCCAAAGACTACTGTATTGTGTAACATCACTTACGCACAGGGCTGTGTGGCAGTCTAGTAAAAATATTTGCAAATGTTTAATTTGTGTCCTACGAGACTCGGCCCATTCAGATTTTGACATAAGTGATTATGCTGTTCATATTAGTCAGACTTGCATAATTTCTGTTCTGAGATATAATTTGCATTTTTAGACATGAAGAGTTTTAGTGTTATGAGGTTCAAGGGTTATGATGCTCTGAAGCTTTGGATTTTACTGGAGATCAGAACAAGATGAGAAATCCGTTCTATTGAGATTTTGCTGTCAAACACATCCTCAACACATACCCAAACTGCGTGCACATCCTCCAGTGTGGTCTGAATATTTCCTCACTGACTTTTAACACCATTTAAAATTAACTTCTGTTCATCTTTTTTGAGTGCTATTATCAACCTTTTTTTCTCCTGAGTCTCCTAGCACTGTATAAAGTCAGATGAATAGAACTTCTCAGTTTTATTCATTTAGAAGGACAGATATCTATCTGACTAGCAGTGAGATACCTTTCATAGGATCACTGTAACCTTTCGGTTCTTGTTAAGTGTCCATTTGGTGAAAAGTTCACTAATTGCTGCGCTACGTGTTGCCGCAGCAGCCCTGTGTCAAGGCTTCACCCTCTTTGAAGTTATAGTTCCTCTCGCGTGGGCCTGTGCGGTAACAACGGCCTTGTTTGGACCACGGTGAACGCAGGAATGGGCAAGAGCTCCTCTGTGATGAAAGCTCCCTATTTGAAGATAGATTGAGTTCATGAGCTGAGCTGCATGGAACGTGTTTGACTCACACTGGCCGCTTTGGGCGGCCTTGAGAGACCACAGCAGAGGTAAACTCTGCCCATTCTCGAGCACACATTTAGGCAAGAAGAATAACAAACTCCTCCATTTGAACTCTTGGGTTATTTCATTGGCTTTGATGGAGTGAACTGCATTATTGTGCGATTTCAGAAGACGCTCGAGCTTTTGTGGACCAAGGATGCATGGCTGACAGACTCAAAAGGTTCAACTCCACGCTTTTTTTCCCCTTCCCTCTTTCTTTCTTTCCCTGGAGAACAGATGACTGTAAAAAAAAAAAAAGAAAAGTAGAATAAAAGAGGAAGGAAGGTTTTCCTGTTAGTCTCCTGACAGGATATGGGTCGTGTTGCTCAGACAGAGCCAGGTGGATCAGGCTGTGGCACCTGCAACACAGGGGGGTGGGGAAAAGGTGAAGGGGTTGAGGTGCCTTGGACACCCCTTCCTGTAAATGACACCCCCAGAGCTGGTGGGGGGGGGTTGCCATTGAGCACACAGTTCAGCGCTGGTGCAGAGTCCCCAGATT